TAACATGCTCTACCACAGCAAAGACATCACGCTCGACATCCCCGTCACCGTCGTGCACCCCGCAGCCTTACCTTCACTCCCGCCGGACGATCCGTATCCAAACCTTGCACAGATGCATACGGGGATACCGATGTCGTATACCCCAGGCCCTTTGTCGCACACCCCAGCTCCCATGTTTCATACTCCAGTGCCGATGTCACATACGCCGGTCCCGATGTCGCACACGCCGATACCGATGTCGCTCACCCCTTCGCATACCCCACAACCATACCATAGCCCCGATCTGTATAGTCAACAACAGGCGTATTATAGCCACGGCGCAGGTTACGCAGGCGGAGGAGCAGGTCAAACAGGAGCAGGATACGCCCCGCAGCCGTTCGTTGATGGGGGACAGGTATATTTCCCGCCTCCGCCTGGGACGTACGACGCAGGGATGGGGATGGGGTTGCCGATGCCGCCGTATGGACTTCCGGGGCATGGGCATGGACGTGGGAGTCCGGTACATGGACATGGGAGTCCAGACCATTCGCATCCGATTTCGAGGGCGGGAACACCACAACCGCACGCTCACTTTGACCAAGCGCGAGCTCATACACCTGGTTCTCAGCCACATACACCGACCTCTCAGACTCCGGCTCCGCATGCACAGAGTTATTACCTCCAGCATCCATCCCAGGTTCCGCACCAGCATCCGTCGCAAGTCCAGCATCAGCATCAGTCGCAAGTGCATCCATCGCAAGTGCAACACCACCCATCGCAAGTGCAACACCACCCATCGCAAGTGCAATACCAGTACCAGTACCACGATACGCCACCGCGTCCAACGTCTGCTGGGGGACAGAGTGTACATATGTTACCCCTTGTGGATGCGTCGCCGCGCGGGATGGGGCAGTCAAGAGGTGCTGGTGGGGCGCAGCCGGGCTCACCACTCCATCCTCATTCCCACTCCACCGAACCGGTCACAGCGTACCACAACGTCCCTCCTACCACCACCAACATCTCTTCCACCTCCACCTCCAACGCCCCTCCCACATCCAACAAACCGGACCCCGACCTCGGCGAAGAAGGAACAGGTCAACGCGCCTCGCGCTTCACAAGGGCTCTACATGAGGCGAGGAGGAATAGGAGCGTTAGTCCGGCGAGGAGGAGATATCCTGTTGGTGTTGGGGGGGTGGGTGAGGTTGTTGGGGTTGTTCTTGGCTCTGAGAATGAGACGATGGAGAGTGGAGCCGGGATGATGGGGAGTGGGAGTGGGACGGGGAGTGCGGCGGCGGTGTGGAGGGATATGCCGCCTTCGACGAGTAGTATCAACGCTGCGAACCCTATCAACGGTTCCGGGAACGTACAGTTCCCGCCGTACCAAGCACCAGCTCTTTCGCAGTCGCAGTCCCAGCAGCCTCCACCACCTCACCCACGAACACACACACTCTCGCTTTCCATCCCCTCCAGCGCTCTGTACTCCCCGCGCCCCATTCTCAGTCCGAAGCAGAGCTTCTCAGCGGAGAGGGGGGTGCCGAGGAGCGAGAAGGTGGAGGAGTTGGAGAGGATGGCAGAGAGGATTGTTGAGGGGCAGGAGGGTGAAGGGGTGGGGATGAGTGCGAGTGGGGTGGCAGTGGGGATGAAGAGGGCAGTCTCGGGGGATATGGACAAGACGCTCCCTGGACCACCTGTCCCTTCTTCCAAGCCGGTTTCTGTGGCGAGCAGACCACGCGCAGATGAGTACTTCAAGGCGGAAGCACCGGACCACGATATAGGAATGGGAACGGCTGCGTCGTCGCCACCTCCGACGCCGTTGACGCCTACCATAACGGCGATTAAGAAACGGCCTTCGCCGCCGAAGGTGTCTTCCACCTCTACGGCACCAACATCATCTCTCGAAAAGCCGTCGTCTTCAAAGCCCACCACCGTATCTCCCAAACCCACTCCCGTTACCAGCCTCCTCTCCGTCGGGCGTACTGAGAGCGGATTGGACGCTCTGGAACGGAGGCTTCTTCAGCAGGTTGGCACGAAGAAGGTCGATGGGGAGGAGAGGAGGAGGGATGTTAGAGATATTCTGGCTCCGGGTGTTGTGTCTACGGCGACGCCAGGTGTTGTGTCCCCCGCGACGCCAGGTGTTCTATCTCCGGCGACGCCGGGTGTTCCATCCCCGGTGTTGGGTGGCGTTGTATCTCCTGTGTTGAGTGACGCTGGTGCGGAGGTGGGGTCGGGCGGTGGATCTGTCGTGTTCGTCGGATCCGGGAGGCACGACGCGGCGAGTAAACCAAAGGACGACCATCAAGTGGTCCACGTCCCGACTAGGCCCCGGACGAAGCCCATCACGATTCCCGAGCCGAAGAGCCCACAGGCGTCCGACGAGAGTGCGATCTCTAGTCTTACACTTGCGGGCCAGGCGACGGCCGATTTCGGAGGTGACGATGAGCAGGATCAGGATGGCCTGACACACCGAGGAGGGAAGTCAAACAAGTCGTTTGGGGGCGATGGGGGACGTATCACACCTCAGCCGATGCCGGAAGTTCCTCCACCGCCTGCATCTGTTTCTGGTTCGGAGGGGAACCCCAGGCATCGCAAGCATTCCCATCATCATCATCGACACCACGACCACGATCGATCCTCAGGCTCAGGAGGGCACAAGCACAAGAAGCGCGGGAGTAAGACGGAGTCGGCGTCTGGGGGGTCGCAGCAGCAGCATCTGAAGAAGGCGGCAAAGGGGAGAGTCGCGGCGTGGCTTGGTGGAGTAGGGGATGCGGACGCGTTGGTCAAGCCGGAGGTTCCGCCGAGTAGGCTGACTTCGCCCGCAAAGTCACCCACAGTGGACCTGCCTCCTCCGTCTCCGGTTGTTCCTCCTTCGCCGGCTGTTGGGGTGGAAGAGGTGTTAGGGGAGGGCGCGCTGGCGGTTGTTGGGAAGGACGTAGGAGAGGAGGAAGAGAAGGATATCAAGGAGCTACTTCGCGAACAGGACGAGCTCGAAGCTTCCCAGATCCTCGCATCCGCACCCTCCAAGCCTAGCGAATCCAAACCCGACCCACGCTCATCCGGCTTCGTTCCCATCGGCACACAGAAACATAAGCATCTCGTCAACCCGGGTCTTACTATCAAGCTCAGTTCTGTTCGCAATGGGTTCTTGATAGGCGCAGGGAATATCACGGCGAAGATCGCGCAGGGGAAGGTGCAGCCGTTCAAAGCGTCTGACCCGAGCTCGCATGCGAGGCGTGTGGCGGATATGTGGGCGCAGCGGACGGTGGAGAGTGAGCGGGAGAAGAAGAAGAGGGAGGAGAAGGAGAAAGCGGAGAAGGAGAGGATGGAGAAGGTCCGGAGGGAGAGGGCGTCGAGTCCTGCACCTCAGGCGAAAACACCGACACCTGTGCCTGTGAAGAAACCGACGGCTGCTCCCAAGCCTGTAGCACCGACTTCGGCGAGGTTGACGAGGCCGTTGGGCACATCGTCGGGGTCGGCGTCGCCTCTCAGCGTTGATCATCCTGCGAGGAAAGTGAGCGAGAACGGGGCTGTGTCGTCGAAGGTGTTCGATGTCGTTGGCGATCCGATGGAGGAGAGGAGGAAGAAGGAGGCGGCGGGGAAGACGACTGCTGGACTTCTCGATCGCACACGCCCTCGACCGTCGCTCGATACACCATCTTCGACGGCGTCGACACCGGTATCTGCCAGCAAATCTACCCCGTCGTCTGGGAGTAAGCCGAGCTCCTCAAATGCAGTACCCACCACGAAACCTACGATCGCGGCCAAGCCGACGGTTGGTGCCGTGCCTGCGACCAAACCGACGAATGCTGGACTGGCGGCAACCAGACCAGCACCGCCCAAGGCATCGAGCTCACCTGCAGTTCCCAGGAAACCACTCGTCAAACGCGCTACTCCACCAGGACTCATCAAATCTGCATCGATACCCGCTCTGATATCCTCCTCCCACGCGAAGCCCGTTATCTCCTCAACTGCCTCTCTCGCTAGACCGCTATCGTCGCCTCGGTCACCGCCACCTCTGAAGGTTTCTGCATCGATACCCGAGGAAGCCGACCCACCTTCGTCTAAGGGCCCCGCGAGAAAGCCAAACGGTGCAGGTGATGTAACGGTCGCGATGAACGGGGTCTCTGCAGCGCGGGCTGTGTTCGCCGGAGCCGCCACGACGACGGCGAACGCGACTTCTCCTTCTCCGGGTGGTGCGAGTGTGGATGCTGCTCCCAAGGCGGGACTAGCGATTGGGCAGAATCGGCTTAGGGAGCTGATTAAGAAGTATCAGGGCTGATGCTTGTGTGTAATCTCAACGTTCGCAATGTTCATGGACGTTCTTCGATTTCTTATTTTCTACTCAACCGTTTCTCATATATATCACTGATAGCTTATTCGTTCATCCATCTAATGTAGCCTGTCCTCTGTTTCTGCTCATCCTCACGCAACGCTGACGACCTCTTATGACTACGATTCGTCACTTTCTATCTGTTTTGCTCTTTCATCATAATGCATCTTGTCGTGCTACTCGTATGTAGATTGTCGCAATCTTGCTTTTCAATATTCTCACATCTACGGACCTTCACATTTACTGTAGCAATTATATTCCCTTTTTTCACATCTCAGCGCAATGAGCTCTGCACGCATGCAAATGCGTCGCAAACATGACTGCGGATCTGGTTTCGAGCGCAACAGCCTTCAACCTGGGGGGTCTAGCAAGTTTCCATCGGTATTAATTGATCGTGACAGGTCAGTACTGGACTAGCTATGGTCTCAGCCGTAGAGCCTAGGCGGCCTCCTAGTATAACTTGCATGCTTAGTGGATGCCTGTCTACTAGATTATCTAGGAGCTCTGGTAAGGGGCCAGAGAATCCTGGTCAGCAGTAGCAAACTGAAGCCTGTTGAATCACGGTTCCTCGACCCGCCAGTCGTTCGGGAGTCAGGACTTCCGACTCGAGAGTCGGGAGGAGAGACACTGGCAGTGGACGAGCGTGGGCAGATGCCAGGTGAAAAATAGCAAAAAGGAATTGATTATGCTTCAGAGGCACTACCAGGGTTCGAACCTGGGTCACGGGAATGAGCTGACATCAGAATCCCGGGTGATAACCACTACACTATAGCGCCATGAGAGCAAATGTATATGAGAGCAAATCTATAATCGTCAAAATGTATCATCTCGTTCGTGTCGTGGGTGTGCCGCAAGTGGTGCTGGAGCATGGTATGCATTGTACTCAGCAGAAATACACAGAATTAGAGTATACATATACACGTAGATTAATGTTCGACTACATTGATCTAGACCATAGTTACTGGTGACTTTTGGCCATCTAGACCACTATTGAGTACAGGATGGAAATGATGCCTCGCTGGTGGATCTGCAGCCGCAGTGTCGCAAGCAAACTGCTCGGGGCCGCACCGACCCCTCGTGATGTAGATGATTACATTTGAGCGAGGGGGATAGCTATATATTTCCGATCTCGTCTGCGCAAAGGAGACGTTGCAAGATGCTGTCGGGTTGCCTTGAGAACCTGCGGAGGCGTGCGCCTGCGACCGAGCTGCACTTCGTATGATGATAAGATCGAATGCGATCCCTGCAATCTGTATGAGCTGAGAGCGATTGCATGTTAGCATGCTTCATTCGTCAAAAGAGTCGCCTTCACGTACCATTCCAGTGACCGGGTAAATTCCGTTCGACCCGGTAATATACGTTATGAAGCAGATACTGGACGTCATGGTGTACACGAGCCCAGATTCAACGACTGTAAGCATGGCGTCCCAAGTCCTGGAGGGTCTGCGTAAGAAACTCCCCGATCCATTGCGCCTGTGGCCCGGAGCGATATTGCCAAAAGAGGAGGAGGAATTTACGTTGAGCATGCCCAAGCGCCGAGTCTTCCTTTCGTACATCCACAGCCGAGCGACGATCATGACTGGCGATCGCGCGATGGTCAGTTTGAGGCCGAGAAAAGGAGCGAGAGGGGTTTCCTCACCAGTAGTCAGCACGTTGAGTGCGATGGTACAGATCCAGAAACAGGTTATGAGGATTTGCATCTTCGCGGCATTCACCAATGCGTCTGCCACTCCCGAACTGCTCTGAGCAAACGCAAGAGCACTGAGGCTTAGTGCGATCGCGGCCACCCAGAGGAGACTAGGCAGGGCGATGACGAGCAACTTCTTGCCGAAAATAATCCAACAGCGCCATATCTATCCAAGAAAAGGCACAGGCACGGAAGGTTAGGGGCCTCTCATCGAAGAACGCTAGCTCGATTGACTGCTCACAAGCATGGCGTCGGCGATCATAGTGGTTAGGAGTAGGACTGCGGACTGTCACGAGAAGAAAAGCTCAGCACAATCGTTGCATGGGATGAGAAGATTACGCACTCTGGTCGTAGGCACCACGTTCGAGACTCGATTCAACGCCTCCTCTCCACCTTTCGGACCGATAAAACCAGAAAACGCAGAGATGATGGCGTAAACAAGTAGTCCTTCGTCGAGTCCAGCTAGAACCAGAAAGACGGAGGCAACGGAGACCATCCGCATGTCCACTCGGTGTCGGGGCTTCAGACCATCTCTATCGAAGAGTAGTGATCTTAAGCAGGAGAGATATATCAACAGATGGAATCCCCAGAACATGGATGCGAGGAACAGAGCCAGAAGCTGCCACTCTGTGACTCCCAACGTCGCCATCGGGAGGCGGGGGTGCGGGGAAAGAAGAACATCTACATCCAGTTGGCCATGTTGATTAAGTAGCGGCTGAGCTCGAGTCTAATAACTTGTGACAGATTTACACACGTATTAGGCTGTAACAGAGGTTGCCAGGATCAAAGATATCGATTGACTGCTCGTCTCGACCAGAGCTAAGCGGAACTTCCTCCCTATCAGAGCCGCTGACAGTATGTTGATGTTGTTGATCGCGCCTAGTGAGCACATGAAACCGATGAATAGCCCAATGGCCAAGGATTTCCGGACTGAACTCTACAGCACCGTCTTCTGAGGTTACACCGCTGTTTCACGGAGTTACGGTGCGGATGGGGGGCCAGCCATGAGTTCTGGTGGGATATTCTGCGGGAAACTGGCACGCGCAGCAGAAACGTTCTACGTCTGAACGCCGGAGGGAGAGTAGCTGACTTGATCTTCGCCAACGCAGTACGTGAGGAAGCCATATAGGAATGATTGTAGAACATGCTACGCGGTGTCGTCGTTTAATTCAGTTGACACTGCGAGACTTCTTCGTTGATCTTGGAAAGACGTCGAGCCAATGAACTTCATAGGTGTACCAACCTATAAGCGCTGCTCAGTGGCTGGGTCGTCGTCGAGTGCCCTGGCACGGTCGATGGTCTTTCCACGGCGGTCGAGTACCACGCACCTGAGCGAGTTCAAAGCAGAGGTATAGGTAGACGTGTTACGAATCCTGAACAACATATCAATATTTGATGGGCTTGAACTCACAAGATACTCAGAGATCGACGGATTACGAGATGGGTTACCGGTATTGTGCGACACCAGTAGCCCCCGTCTTTTCGCATAGAATCGAGAAACCCCAGTTCTTGCTGCAAATTAGGTTCATGTAGGATACACGCCAGGAAGTACACAAAGATAGGTACAGAAAGCGTCAAGAACGCTCCACATCAAAATCGCGGGACTTAGCATCAGCACTCTCGAGCTCAACCTCCTCGCTCTCACGCCCGTTCACGGACTTATCGTCGCTGCTAGGAATATCCATGGGCTGTGATATCTCATCAGAGAAATCACCCCCCAGAAACGTTGTTGATTCTCTCACGATTATCGTCGATTGCTCCCCGTATCCTGTGCGAGTCGCAAAAACCATCTCCGAACCTCCTCTTCGTCCCCGCTGAGCTGACCCTGCCATGGTACTGCTACCTGTGTAAGTGACGCCTCGAGAGATTTGTTGCCTGAATAAGTGTCGAGCGTTGAGTGTCGCGAGCAGAGAGTTGGTGTACACTGCGTTGAAAAGATCAGACCACTGGTCGGTGAGCGGTGATGTGGACGCGGAACTCACGGTTTCCTTCGATGACGAAGATGGCAAGGAAGATGAGGGTTTTGGGAGCGACGATAATCTGTGGAAGGTTTGAGGTGAGCTGCGAATGCGTTGGTAAACATTAGACAACAGACTTACGAAAACAAGAACGAGTAAATCTACAGCCCTGCAATGTCCACAGAACCTTGAGTCCCAAGCCCAGCCGAAGAAAGGATCGGAACTCACGATGTCAGGAAACCGTTGTTGACGGCGAGTATCATTAACTTCGTGAGCAGAGTGTCGGTTCGTGTCCTTCCGGAGCGCTGGCGATGCAGATAGTATGTAAGGGAAGTCGCAATCAGGAAGTCCGTGGAGAATGAAAACGCTAGGGTGGCTTTGGCCCATTTCTGTATTCGTGAGTTCCTGCTGTGAGCAGATACTACAATCTGAATGGTCAAGAGACTGTACCAGGTTGTGCTCGACCTCGGTGAAGACCCGCGACTTGATTGCGCTATGAGACCATCGAGAGGAGGAGTGAAATACGGTCGCGCTGTCATCAAAAACGTCACCTACATTTCAACGTAGAGCGCTGCATACGCGGAGTTGGGAAGAGCATTAAAGCATATCATTGAGCTGAAGCAACGCCTGCTCACTGAATAGGTGGGCTGCAAAAACAAGGCTGAAGATCAGGGCAACGGGCACCAGTCCGAGGGTAGGCGCACGCACATGCTCTACCGAGCGCCAACACGACCTGTTGAACCAGTTCTGATCAGCCTCACATCGAACGTCGTAGTCGGGCTCGACTGGTACGCACAATAGCTGCTGCGATCCACCGATTTCCATTGCTCACTAAGTGCATAATTGGAAAGAAACATTTAGATGGAGAAGTGGCGAATTGAAACAATGTTGACTGACCGATGTACACTCTATAGGCGTAGAAAACATGGGATATCAGCGCGACACAGAGCTGAAGATAGACTGAGTCAGCACGAGCAGCCGTCAAGGTGGATTCGCACGACATACCGTGATGAGCAGGCTGGTCTGCCAAATGTTCAGTAAGTCGCGCTTTAGGGCTCAGAACCCAATCACAGGAGCCATAGGACGTACGAGAGTCGACCTTTGAAGGATTCTGCATCAGTGGTGTTGCTAAATCCCTTCGGGAGCGCAACGTACATGGACATAACCAGAAGAGCCATAGGATTGAAGTAGTTTACCACTAGAAACCAATATACGCCGTGTATGTTGAGCACAGCGTGCGCCGTTTCCAGTAACCTGGATTGATTGCTCAGTTCACAGCTCAGCGGTCGGGTATGCTTGCTGACCCTAGCGCTACGACCTAACGCGGTGAGCAAATCGAGTTAGAAAAACACGAGCTCAGATAGGGCGAAGGTGCCGAGTTTCACCATTAGTTTCATCCATAAACGGTCCTCAGAATACGAGCGGAAGTAGATATAGATCTGTAGCACGCTGACGCCAAACAATCTGCAACTCGCCGGTCAGAGAGACCTCGAAGCCCAGGTTATCGATATCGGAATCACGTACGCCGTCGACAGAAAAGAGCCCACCAGATAAGCGCCGAACGTGCTCCCCAAGTCGAAGGGCGGCGCTCCAGCTGTTGGTATCGGCGTTGCCATATTCTCAGTCAGCGCACCATCGGCAGAAAAAGATGTACAGCGAATAGAGGGAGTGTAGAGGAATTGACAGGAAGTTGAGGCTCGAGTATATATACTGTACCTGCTGGATGATTATAATAACAGACAAAGACAGGCACCAATTGATTGGGACCACCGAGCAATATTGAACCAGAGCACGGCCGATTTGGATGCGGAAGCTGGGGCGTTGAGCACGGAGCAGAACCGACAGATAAGTTCTTAGATAGATACGTCGCATGCCGTTAACGCATGTATACGAAGGGAGTCATGTCCAACCCAGTGCAATGCTAGTCAGCCACCTGTCCATAATACATGGTGTAGCCTGCCGAGGGATAGTATTCTGCTATTATGGGCCAATAGGGAGGCTTCACGAGTGGATAAAACGAGTTGGAGACTTCGAGTTGCATGCAACCTGGCCATCGAACGAGTGGGCGAAGATGCAGAATGATGGATGACTAATGCGGCAGATATTTCACGTGGGAAATACAGGGAACATC